CCTCCTCCTCCTCCTCCTCGCTTCTTCTTTTCTGCTTCTTCCTCACTTTGTTTGATCTGTCTTGTCTTGTCCTCGTAGAATCGCAGGTGCTCCTGCAGGAACTGCATAGCATGCTCAGCTCTCAGCAGCCTCCTCCCCCCGATTCCTCCCACTCCTCGCTCCTCCTGCTCTTCCTGCTCTTCCTGCTCCTCACCTCTTCATTGAGACTGGGGGAGGCCTGATGCGACTCCTGCGCTTGAGCTGCAAGACTTGAGGATGCGCGACCCCTCCTGCCTCGTCACCTTCGTCGACGGAAGAGGCTGAACGCTCAGAGCTGCCGGAGAGGTCGTACTCCTACCAAAGCCTTAGAGCAGGCGGAGGAGGATGAAGACGAGGACGAGGAAGGGAAAAGAAGAAGAAATGCAAGAGCGAGGACAGAGGAGGAAAGAGTGAATGGAGAGCAGGGCCCGGCAGAGGAGAGGAGAGGAGGAGAATGGAGCTCACCGACTCGGTGCCTAGGAGCATGCCGTCATGGTCCCTCCTCTCGACGTCGATGAGTTTTTCAGGGCTGGCAGAGGGAGGAGGCGAGGGGGCTGAAGTTCGTTTCTGTCTCGCGGGTCTGATGGGAGAGGATGAAGGAAGGTCGCCGTCCGGACTGTTGAGATGAAACTGAGGGAGGAAGGAGGAGGAGGTCAATCCGGAGGGAGACAGGATCTCAGTGCTGTGCGCTTGCGCCTGCTCGGACTCGAACGTCTGCTGCAGCTGAGACCCAACGGCGTTGGCGGATCCTCCCAAGAGAGGAGGGAGGAGAGGCGAGCGAGCTGGAGCAGCAAAGAAAGGAGGAGAGGGAACAGGAGCTGGTGCATGAGTAAAGAAAGGCGAATAGGTAGGGAGAGCAGAAGCAGGAACAGGAGCAGGAGGATAGGCGGGTGAAGGTGGAGCAGGAGCAGGAGCAGGAGCAGGAGCAGGAGCAGGAGCAGGAGCAGGAGCAGGAGCAGGAGTAGGAGAAAGAACAGGAGCAGGAGCAGGAGGAGACGGAGAAGGGTACTGGAGAGCCTTAGCCCCAGGAACGATGCTGGGGATGGATCGCTCTAGGAAGCAGACGACGAGGGAGAAATCGTCGTTGAGCGGCTGGAGCAGGAGCGGCTTTCTGACGGCGATCTCAACGATCTGCATGCAGCATCAGCATCCTACGTGTCGCCTCCTCCCCCTCCCACCGTTCCCGGCTGCCCCAACAATCTTGTCTGCACTTCGTTGGCGGTGTCGAACTCGACATACTGGCGAATGTGAGAGAGAGGAGGGAGAAGGCAAGGCAGGAGGACGAGGAGGACGAGGAGAGGACCACGGCGACGACGAGGAGCAGGAGGGGCCTCTTCTCACCTGTTTGTCAATGAAGATGATGGCATCCCCGACGTCGATCTTCTTGCTCATGTCAGCCGGAGAGTTGGGTATGATGCCCTGCAGTAGGCGCTTACAGACCAGGCTGCTACTCATCCTCCTCATCCTTATCCTCCTCATCCTCCTCATCCTCATCCTCCTCATCATCCTCATCATCCTTATCATCCTTATCATCCTCCTCCTCATCATCCTCATCATCATCCTCATCATCCTTATCATCCTTATCATCTTCCTCCTCACCTTCACCGTGCAGTTGGGAGGCCCCAAGACGAGGCCGACAGAGGCGATGTGGTTCTTGGTGCTGATAGAGGAGGAGGTCAAATCTCCTGCGAGAGGAGAAGGGGTGACGGTCGCTTGCAGGGCACTTCTATGAGGGCTGCCACTAAGATCCGCCATCGGTTGCTTCATGTCATCCTCTCTCTGAAGCCATGAATGCGCCTCTACGCTCTTCGTGTCCTGCAACAAGCTCGATCGCTGAAAGAGCTCGGCAGGGCTGATTGGAGGAGGAAGATCGCTGTCGACGACTACCTGGCTCTTCATGGCACTGGAGGGAGTGTCCAAGTCTCTGCTCGGAGTCTTGGAAGCATGCTGAGAGACCTGAGCAGGTCCTGTCCTTCCGCTGAACATGGTCTTGAGCCTGCGATGCCTGGAGGAGAGGAGGAAGAGGAGGACGAAGAGCATGATGATGCCGAGGAGGACTAGACCTCCGACAACGCAGACGATGAGAATGATCTTGTCCTGCTGCATCTTCCTCGTCTCAAAATCTCTAGCTCATCTGCAGCCTCCTCTTCCTCCCCTCTCTTCCTCCCCTAGCTCTCTCCCCTCTCTGCATCCTCCCAGTCGCTTCCCCAATCCTCGCAAGCCTTTCAGGTTTCAACTGCTCAGTGAGCCCTACATCCCTCCTCCCCTCTCATGAACTTCTACATCCCTCCTCCCCTCTCAGACCCCTACCGTCCTCAGCCGCCGCGGTCAGTGCCCGGCCGGGCCCGGCGAGTCCCAGGGCGGGTCCTCCCGCCCCTCTCACTCTCATGACCAGTCCTCCCCTCCGTCGGAGTCATAACCCCTACACCCGGGGCCGCCAGTCAGGTTCGCCCGGCGCGGCGGGCGCCTCCGACTCGGGCGACCGGCGTGGCATCATGATCCGAGCCCCCGCCGCCGGGGCTTTCATCACTGATCCGATGACCCGCCGGCCGCCTACACCCCACCGGTGACCCCCCACTCATGACGGCTGACCCCTGCACCCCCGAGGCCCGGGAGGGAGGCAGCGGCCGCCGATCATAGCCGCCGCTCCGCCACTCAGCGCCTGAGGCTCCCGGAGGCGCCGAGGCTGATTGCCATCACCAAGACTCGCTGGCAAGTCACTGAGAGGAGACTCGTTAGCATCCCTGAGTCAAGGACCGTCCAACAGACTCTGTAAGAAGTTTCGGTTCAGCATCGGACTCAATGAAACGGCGGCGACTCGCCGCAAGCCTCTCACACTCATCGGACAAAGTCGGAATATCCTTACATGATGCTCAAATTCGGCAGGCTGAAACAAGAACATTCAAGATCCGTGCAATCCAAACCTGATGTATCATGTTTAACGCTCTTTGATGTTCGATCTTAGTGCCGTCGCTGTATCATCGTATGCCCACAACATGCGCTGTTCTTCCGAGGGTATGCAAAGCGGCTACAAAGAGAGACGCCAAAAAGAGACTCAGCGAGTCACCCAGCTTCTGAGAGACAGAATGGCAGCGATTCCCAGAGCGATAAAATGACATCAATCAACATACTGTACAAGGTGAACCCATCAAGCACTGGCCCAGGTTACATCAATTCCAACGATTCGACATCAATTACTTCTATTCATTATCATTCCTTCTGAAATCAATAGTCCAATGCGTTGGCAAACTTGACGTTGTTTGAAAAGAGCTTGGCGATGCAATACTTCACCTCTCCTGCCAGTCAATTTCAGCGACTAACAGGCTTATGTAAAACCAAAAGATGCAAGCAACACAAAATTTGAGAGCAGAGGTCAAACATGACAAGAAAAATGCTGAATCAATCATCATTTTAGGAAGAGAATACTAAGAATCAATCATCATTTCAGCAAGCGAAAGTTCTGAAACACCAGAGGACTAAGCACATGCTCAATCAGTCAGAATTCTTGCAACAAAGAGGTTTCAAGCATGCACAATTCAACATCAGACGGAGGGAGAACTTCAAAACAGAGCCTTGCTCGTAACCGAAGCACGATTGTTACCTTCGGTCACAAAGGAGGAAGCGCAATAATTCAAAGCAAACACTTTCTGTCGGCGCTCAGAGGCGCCATCGAGGTAGAGCTCTTGAGTGGTCTGAGCGGCGACATTCTTCTCGTAGAGGGCAAACATGATGGGGTTGTGCGTCAGGTATCAGAAAGGCGGAGGTATCTGCTGCTGCTCTTGCTCCTCGTCTCTTCCCTCTTGTCGTCCTCGCCCTCCTTCCTTCACTTCGCTGCTTCCAGTCTAAAAGCGGCTCCGGTGGTTACATCCGTTACATTTGACGGTTGGTCATCGTTGATGGTCGTTATTTCCGTTAAAAGACCCAGGATGACCCCTTGCTGATAGTACCCCTCACCTCTACTCGGAACTACCCCTACCTATCCTTGTGTGGGCTGACCTACCCCTGTGTGATTCCAAAGGCGAAAGGGCAAACCATGCACTCGCTGCTTATCAACATTCCGGTAAGAGAGGAGAGGAGAGGAGAGGAGAGGAGAGGAGAGGAGAGGAGAGGAGAGGAGAGGAGAGGAGAGGAGAGGAGAGGAGAGGAGAGGAGAGGAGAGGAGAGGAGAGGAGAGGAGAGGAGAGGTGAGGAGGGGTGAGGAGAGGAGCGAAGAGGAGGGCAGGAGAGGAGAGGAGAGGAGAGGAGAGGAAATTGTGTGGACAAGGTATGAATGAAAAAGGAACGGCTCAGTCACGGGTATTGGGTATTGGAAGGAGAGGACCAGACAGGCAGCAGAGCAGAACAGAGCGGTTACCAGACGATGAAGCGGAGAAAGAACATGAAGCGGGTTAGAGACCTCACACGCGCATAACATGAAAAAAGAGGATATTGAAATGATCAGTTTGACAAGAAACGAGATTTGTTGATACCAGTCCAGAGGATTTATACAGGACAACAGAAAAATTCGTTATGAATTTGAGCACATCTCTGCTATTTCATGTCAAGTCAATTGGTGTTGGTCTCATGTCGATTCAGGTCACTAGAACGGGACTGGTGGAAGCAAACCGCGGCTTTCAAGATCACATGTTCAAGCTCTATACGGGCCAGTCACTGAAGCAGGTGATTGATCCGTCTCATTTCTTGGATGTCCCTCAACGAATGCCTGCACAGCGACACATCGATCACGCGTCGCAGAGCATCGGTGGTAGCAGGTGAGAGAAGGAGTGGGAGGAGGAGAAATGATGGCGTCATAGGGGGGTCGATCGCTTCGGCATTCCCCGCGGAGGAGCAGTCATCGACATTTAAAGGACCATGTAGACGTTGGTGGTGTAATATGATCGATCCGTTTCAAAGGCTTCTCCCCTCGTGGTCCCTCACACCTACCATGCTAGTCGCGCCCCTCACATACACAGTCAGGCTGGTCTATCCTGACTAGACTGACTGAGTCAAGCAGGCGTGAAGGTTTGACTCCGTGAAGGATGCGAGCGCGCTGAGACGTTGTGAGGGAGAGACAAGTGCAGGCAGCGCGAGGACCTCCTTCAGTGCCTCGTGCTCCCTGGCGTCGAACCTCCCGCGATCACCTCCCTCCCCTTCCCTCGGGTTGGCGATGATGACCCTGCAGCTCGTCACGATCGCACGTGAGGCAATCAGCTCACCGATTCTCCGGCGTGACGGTCGCGGGGACCATTCGCAGACTGCAGATGAAGCCTCTCTCCTGCTATCCGCCTCACCGCCGCTCTCAGCACTCGTACCTCACATGCAACGAGCCAATCCTCGCGATGTCAACGAAGTGCGCGAGCGGAACCTCGAGGAGGCTGGCAGCCTGCGAGGGTCAGGGGTCTGTCAGGCGGCAGAGAAGTGCGAGCATACATGGCGGACGCGGCCGTTGAAGCGATCGGCATGGCAGCACCTGGAGGATGAGGTGACGCACAACAGAGGGCCCTAATGCATCACGGCATGACAGCAAACGACACGCTCCTCTCCACGCACGCGTCCATGATCACATCAGTGAGGTAGTTACAGGCTGCATGGCGTCATCAGGAGCTGTAGAGCAGGAGGTCTTTCGCACCATGGATGGCAAACACACGAACCCCTTGCCTGGCTTCATGCGAAGGAGCTTGAGAGTCGAGGAGAGCAGGAAGCGTCTCTGCTATGTCGCCCTGTGGGAGATGAGAAGTGACTGGAGCAAGGAGGCAGGAGGAGGGGGGATAGGAGGGGGGACCTCGGCGAACTTCACTTGCGCGACTTGAGGTAGCAGACCTGACGCATCATCAGACGAGGAGCAGCCTATGGAGCTTAACCAGCTAGTTGGAAAGACTGCAGGAGGTTGGCGGCTGACGGAGGAAAGTGAATATCTGTGATGAAGACCCTCTAGCTCCTTGTGAACGAGACGAAAGCGCGACGTCGCTTCCTCACCTCACATTTCCGCATAGCGAGCAGAATGAGCCCTCTCAACATGTCAGCTCCAGCGAGGTCTCGACGAGTGTGCAGGTACCGAAGAGTCCATGTCCGCTACAGCAATCCACCGCTGTCATGCACCCCCTGAACAGGCTCAGATGACTGTCGACTTGCGTTACCTCTGCTCACTTCTTCAGCAGAGGAGTCTCCACCTTCTTGAGGAACGCGAAGGCTTCGTCCACCTCCTGCTCGTCTCCCCTCATCCTTCCGCCCCCTCCTCCCCGCGTCTCTCTACCTTCTTGCATGGCTTGGGTCTGGGCGCGTCAAGGTAGGCGCCCCTGAAAGAGGCGAGGGTGTGAGAGGAGGGGAGGGAGAGAGAGAGAGAGAAGAAGAAGAAGAAGAAGAGAGGAGAGGAGGGGAGAGAAGGGGAGAGGATCGAAGAGGAGAGGAGAGGAGAGGAGAGGAGAGGAGAGGAGAGGAGAGGAGAGGAGAGGAGGGTTGTGCTCACCAGATTCTCTCAGATATTGTCTTTCTAGGCGTGAAGGTTCTGGACAGCATGGAAGTAGAAGCAGCAGGAGACTCCTTGCCATCAGCACTAACGCCCTCGACGTTTCGAACATCGGAGGGTGGAGGGTCTCGAGCAGAGCTTGCGCCTGGCTGCTCGTGCCTTGATTGAGGTGCTGTGTATGTGTAGCGGATGGAGCACCGCAGCCACCTCCTCCTCAACCTCGACCTGAACGAGCTTTCCTCCCAGTTCCAGAGATTCATGCAGCGACCCTGCCCTCCCCCTCGCACGAGAAAGTCATCGATCCTCTTGTCAATGGCATGTTGCCGAAGACAGCTCTGCTGGAGACTCTCTTCCTCCTCCATGGCCTCGCCCCTCGCATCCCTCACAGTCAGCCATGCCCTCTTGGCCCTCCCGCCATGCCCTCCCCTACGCCCTTGCCCCGACATGGATTTGTTGGTTTAGATACGAGATCCTGGAGTTTAGCGAGGGTTTGGCTCTACAGGGATTAGTTTGCAATAGCGTCTCATCAAAGGGAACATGGCAAGGGGGGCGGGGTGGGAGGTAGGGGAGGAGGGCAGCAGGGTGAGAGCGAAGGCATGGCATGCTGGTATGAAGGAAACATGAGCAATGGTGTGAAAGAGAGGATGACGATGTTGAGGGAAAGAGAAGGAAAAGGCGAGGAAGAAATAAGATGAATGTTAGTGAGGATGGGGAGTGAACTGATGGGAGGTGATGGTGATAGCGAGGTGGTCGGGTGAAGATAAGGGAGGATCATGTTGGCAGTAAATCCAGTCTTGAAGCTGCAAGACTGGAGTAGGAGGACATCTTTGCTCACTGTCGCTGTGACCTGCAGGTTTTCTTGTCGCGCATCGGAGCAGCATGCTCTCGTCCACCTGCGTCGCTCCCTCCACCTCATCTCCATCCTCCTCATCTCTACGAGGAGGTGGTGGTGGTGGCACAGACAAGCCGAGAAGTGAGGGCGACTCCCCTCCTTTCCTCCTTGATCTCTTTGACCAGGCGTGCTCACGGGAAATTATTCTTCTGCCGCCATGTTCATGGACTTCGCCGTGTTCTGCATGACCATCTACTGCGAGGTCCGGGCTGCTCGATATCTGGTTTCTGCGTCTCATTGCAGCAGCGCTTGAAGCAGGAGCAAGAAAGTGCTCGCAGAGAGAAGACAAGGGAGGTGATGGGGCTGGCAAGGTTCTATGCCGAGAAGGACCCGCCGGACTACTCGAGGTCAGAGGAGAGGTGGAGAAGGTGGTTGTGTGAATCAGCCGCAGAGCAGCAGAGGCGTACGGCCAGGCAGCAGCGATGGGAGACGAGCTTGCGCGTTACAACCTTGCTGTGCTCTACCTACACGTCCGAACGCACAAACGACTCGCCTGCTCTGACTGCACGCAGGGGGTCGGGGTAGATCAAGATTCGCAACTCGCAGCCTCGCTGCTGGCTAAAGCAGCAGAGCAGGTGGAGGAAGCAAAGGCGAGACTCCTGCTCACCCGCCTGGCAGAACCTGCCGGACGCCTCCTACCTGCTCGGCACCATGCACGTGCGGGGGCTGGGAGTTGAAAGTGAGCGCGAGGCTGATCGAGCGGAGCTGATGCGCACGTGCAGGGGACGCAGAGAAGGCGGTGAAGCTGTTCGAGCAGGCGGCAGCGATGGGTCAGCCTGAGCGTGAAGGCCAGGGATGTGACAAGCCCGCAGGACACGAGCACGCGATCGAAGCTCTTGCCGACTGCCATGCAAGGGGAATCGGAACCCGTCGATCGTTGCTCCGAGCAGCACAGCTGTTCTCGTACGCTTCATGGAGGAGGAGGAGGAGGACTAATGTTTGCGATAGGGAAGCCGACCAAGCGAAGGGTCGAGAGCGACAGGTTAGAGGACACGTGGGAGGACACGATGAGCTGATGTAAGCAATGCAGTATGATACTGTCAAATTCGCAGAGGTGCAGAATGAGGAGGAGGAGGAGGAGGCAGAAGGGGAAGAGAATAAGGGGAAGAAGGAAGGGAAGGAGAAAAAGGAAGAGGAGCAGGAGAGGAAGGAGAAGGTTGAAGAGGCAAGCGAGGTGAAGGTGAACCAAGACATGAGGTACGTGATCCAAGAGACAACAGCATTTGACGAGAGCACAGAAGGGCGGGAAGCACGGAGGAGGAAGCGAGCTTTGACTTTTCAGAGTCTCTCGACCCCGAGCTGAAGTTCTCGAATGATTGACATCTGCTACCTCTTTCCCTCTCTTGCCTTACCGTACTTGCTGTCTCAGACCCTGTCCCTCACTGCTCCTCCTATCCATCCCCCCCCTCCTCCTTGAGCAGATTCTGCATGCATTCGAGAAGGCCGTATAGCTCCAGCTCCTGTGCTAACCGAGCGGAAGTTTGACATCGAATCACCTGTGCGGCGAGTGACTAAGTAGGAGGAGGAAAAGGAGGAGGGACGCAGAGGGAGAGGCGGGTGGAGGAGGGAGGGAGAGCGGGGGGCAGGGGAGGAAGAGGGAGAGGCGGGTGGAGGAGGGAGGGAGAGCGGGGGGCAGGGGAGGAAGAGGGAGAGGCGGGTGGAGGAGGGAGGGAGAGCGGGGGGAGGGGAGGAAGAGGGAGGGGAAGGGGGAGGGTTTAGGGTATAGGGTTTAGGCACCTCGAAGGAGGCGGTGAGAGCGGTGGCCTCCTCCACCTTCCCGTCGTGAATGACCTGAAGCATTCGCTCCTTGCATCGTCTACCGCGACTATCCACATCCACCTGCTCCTCCGTCATGCCTGGCCGGTGCTCTCTCCTCCTCACCTGCTGGGTCCTGTGCAAGTGGAGGTATCTCGAGACCCTGTCCTCATCTCCTCTAACAACCTGGAACCTCCGTCACGGAGAGGAGAAGGAGGAGGAGGAAACCAGGTAGATGAGACGCTTCCACATGAAGAGTTTTCCCTGCAGACCTGCCATGGTTCAGTCGCAAGACAAGCGGAGGGAGGGGGACCGAGCTCGAGAATCCAGCCGCTGATGGTGCGCGTGTACCTCCTCTCCTGACCGACCAAGTTACCACAGCCAAGAACATGAGACATCGAACGACCTCGCGCATGTGATCTACTTTCAACACGCAGACACGGTGAGAAGAGGAGGAAGAAGAAGGGGTTGGTCGAGGAGGAGGGGGAGTATAGTTTGTTGAGCTGATCTCCTGCTGGTGTAGTCTTGAGGGTCTCTCAGAGCAGATTCAACTGACCTCATGGTACTCGTCGTGCGCCTCCTTCATCCTCTGCATGACCTCCGCCATGCACTCACTCCCTGCCGTCTCATCGACGCTCTTCCTAAGCGTCTCGTTTAGGGCCGCGTGCTCCTTTCGGTCCACCCCCGTCGCTATCAGCTCGCAGTCAGGCTTTACCAGGGGATAAGACTCGCCGAGGAGGAAGACGATGCGGAGCTTGCAGGAGCTGACTGAGCTGACCAGGTCGAAGGTCAGCCGAAACTTCTGCTGCGATCCCTCGTCCTCCCATCCCTCAACGGCTACTTCATCCCCGAAAATCGCCATGGCAACCTGCATAATCCATGAAACTCAAGCGAGTACGTTCCTCCTCCTCTCCTTCCTCTCCCCCTCTTTCGCTCACCTCCACCTCTTCTTGTCGTCGTTGCTCCGCCTCCTCCATGGCTCTCTCCTCCCCGTTGCCGCTACCTCGCCATGGCAGTCACCCCGCATCCCTAGGACGAGTCTGCTGTCCTTGTACTACCTCTGAGGCGGACCCTGGAAGTGAGCTTCGTCGCCCCGTCATGGCGTCGGGGGTGCGGTGGGAGGAGGCGAAGGAGGACGTGCGGCCGTTGAACGAGATGCCGCACGACATGGCGAAGCAGATCCTCACGATCGCACGCGAAGAGGTGCTTACCTCCTTCCATGCCGCCATGCCGCCATGCCGCCATGCTGCAATGCTAATGCCTGTAGCCAGATTCTCCATGGCCGCGATGCTCTCCGAAGTTTGGATGGACTTGCTGAAGAGCAGGGGATGGATGTAGACAGGCTGTGTGCAATCACTGATGCCATCGTCTTCATCGTCATGGAAGCGGCGAAGTGCAAGATGAGCGAGCAGGTGAGGGGGTGTGGTCGCGAGGGGGTATGGCTAATGCACGTGTCGTGATCAGGAGTTTCTCAACGTTGTGAGCGGGGTGGGGGTGGAGGAGAGGCTGCAAGAAGAGTTCAGCAGGGTGTATGGAGAGGTCGTCGACTACTCGCGGGAGATATCCTTCAGGCTGCAGCATGAACTCCCTTCCCTCTCCAGCATGCAATGGCGACTCGACGTTCAACTTGGAAGCAGATGCCTGCAAGGACAATGCTCGCCGTCGTTGATGATGAAGTTCGGGGTTGCGAAAGGGAAGGAGACCACAGAGCACCTCGTGCAGGTTCGTTCACCTGCTGGGTGCTATGAAACTGCTGATGGCTTTGACCAGGCTGAAATCTGTGACGTGCAAAAGATTTGCGATGAGATACAGTCTGCGCTGCAAGAAGCCAAGTCAAATCATGCGAGAAAAGTAACGAGATTGCTTAAATGAATGAGGCTGAATCTGTTTGATGGTGAACGTGTACTTCGTCAGTCAACTTTGCAACCAACCTCAGTTCAACCCCTTCCCCTCATTCTCTTGGTTTCGAGTCCTACGAGCTGCTGCCGCTGCTACTTGCCTGCTGGCTCTTCCTCTCTGAGTATCTCCCTCCTCTCTCAGCCCAAGCCTCCTCCGAGCGGTAGTCGTTGTAGCAGCTGTGCCGGGTTGGGGCCCGCGCAGGCTTGGAAGCCTCGGAGTGAGTTCACCAGCACCTGAGAGTCTTCAGTCGCTCTCAGCGATCCGTCGGATAGTGATGGATCGCGTGCCAGCCGTGCCAGTCAGATAGCACCGAGTCAACAACTTGAGACCGTACTCTCCTGTAAACCAAGACGACCCGGGCCTTACGTGTTGCGAGCGGCGGCACTGATGACTCCGAGGCTCGGATGTAGCACCATAGTACGTCAGATGAAGAGGAGTCCAACGGTCCTTCCTAGCCGTCTTGCTAAGGTCCGGGAGTCTCATGTCTGGATGCTTGGGTGACACAGCCTATCTCTCATGTGCTCCTCAATCCTTGTTTCGTGTGCATTAAACTCGGTCCAAAGGTCGGACTCGGGTGAGGTCGATATGAATATCCGAGTGCTGGTACAAGTCTAACAAACTTGTACTCCGTCAGATAGACTTGGCCCGGGGTCGGGCCGTACTACCGCCGTACTAGTAACCGTCTGTAGTGGACCGGCGGGCATGGCCATGTAGAGCAGCCCAGTGTAGCTGACTCGGTAGGTAGCTGAGCCTTGTAGGGACACGGGAATGAGGGGGATGAGTCAGCACGTCAAGTTGACCAACCACGAGTGCCTGCAGGCGACCGGTGAAGAGAAGAGAAGAGAAGAGAAGAGAAGAGAAGAGAAGAGAAGAGAAGAGAAGAGAGGAGAGGAGAGGAGAAGAGAACAGAAGAGAAGAGAAGAGAAGAGAAGAGAAGAGAAGAGAGGCGGAGAGAAGAGAAGAGAAGCAAAGCGAAGCGGAGAGAAGCACAGCACAGCACAGGAGAGAAGAACAGAGAAGAGAAGACCACAACAGAGAGTTGCGACATTGTTGTTCCAAATTCCATCTTGAATTTTTGTTGAAAGGATGAAGACACGCTGTTGATGCTTCATGGGGGGTTGCAGGACTACAAGGGCCGAGGGCCCTCAGCCCCACAGCCTGAACATGGCAGAAGTGAGACAAGAAGAGGAGCTGCCAGGCACCATGCTCAGAGAGGATCAAGAGTCCTCCACCATCTTTCACCTCACTTCCATCTCGCCCGCATCCACCCGCTGGGGGAAGGTGCGAGCTCTTGCTCGTCGACTTGTTGAGAGGTGGGAGTTCATGGCGATGGTGTATGGAGCCATCGCATTTGACAGCATGCTCATGGGCTTCGACGACGCGTCGGTGCAACGTGACCCCTCCTCCCCCTTACATCCTCTCCTCGACTACTCCAACTGGATCGTCATGTCCTTCTTCACCGTTGAGGTCGGGCTCAAGATGTTTGCCTACGGCGTCTACAGCAAGCAGACGGACCAGATGGCAGCAGGCGATAGCATGTCGTCGTTACAAGACGAGGACGAGGACGAGGACACGAAGCACGGGTACTTCTCGAGCAGCTGGAACCTCTTCGACTTCAGCATCGTGTCGCTGTCATGGTTGCTGCTGCTGTACCAGCTCTTCCTCGACAGACGAGCCTCGGGGAAGATAGCGCGGGCCTTGAGGATCGCCAGGCCTCTCAGGGCCTTCCGGGTGCTGGAGGGGACGAGGCACGTGCTCCTTACCTTCCCCAAGGCTATCCTCGACATCCGAGACGTTCTCTCTCTCCTCCTCTTCATCTTCCTCGTCTACGCCATCCTTGGCCTCAACCTCTTCGGCCTCGACGGCAAGTTCCACGGGAGGTGCGTCGTCGAGGGAGGGTACGAGCACGGCACCCACGGCTTTCTCTTGCTGGGGAGATACGACTACTCAGCTCCTGTGTGCGGCTCCTCCTCCTTCTGCCCAGCTGGGTTTCGCTGCAGCTGCAAGGCAGACGTTCTTCCTGACGGGACCCTCCAGCCCCCTCCCTACGCCTTCCAAGACCCTCAGACGGGGGACCCAGGCTGCCTCCGCCAGCCGTCTCCTCGGCCATGGGCGGACGGAGGAGAAACGCGAGGCCCCACGTGCCCCAACTACGGGTTCGCCTGCTTCGACAACTTCGCTGTAGCGATCTTCACGATCTTCACGAGCATCACGATGGACTCGTGGAGCAACACCATGTGGTGGGGGGAGGACGCGACCGACGACTTCATCTCCGTCCTCTACTTCTCTTCTCTGGTCGGCATTGTCGCCTTCAACGTGGTCAACCTCAACACCGCTGTCATCTCTTCCGCCTACCGCAAAGTCCGCGAGGAGGCAAGGGAGGCGAGCAGGGCGCGCGCCAGGAAGCACGTGGAGAGAAAGTCTCGCGTCCTGCAGCTGCAGCTCCGGTTCTCCGAATGGCTGAAGGAGGGCGAGAGGAGGAGGACGCAGCCCCTGAACCAGCTCTCGCTCCTGGCCAGGAAGATCACGACATTTCCGCAAGAGGTGAACGAGTGCGGGGAGCTGCTTCCTTCCGACCTCCTCCACGTCCTTCGCTCCAAGAACGTTCGCGTCTACTTCGGCCCCAGCAGCCATCAGTGGAGGGCCACAGCACGGGACTCGCTGCTCTTCCGCTCCGTCGACCTCCAGGACGGGGAGGAGCCAGCAGTGCGGAGAAAGATCGAGAAGGATGAGGTGATTGGGGAGGGAACGTTCAGCGACGACAACTTCCATGAGCTGCGCGAGCTGCTGGGCTCTCTACATCATGAGGCTGCCGGAAAAAGAAACATCAAGTACCGGGTGATTTCTCCTCCGCCCCGCATTCATTCTCCTCCTACTCATACTCATACTCATACTCATACTCATACTCATACTCATACTCATACTCATACTCATACTCATACTCATACTCATACTCATACTTCTGATATTCTTCGCTTTCCTCTCAGTTCCTTTCATCCTTCTCCTTTCATCGTTGCTCTCCCACCATTTTCTCGTCTCCTCCCTCTGACTTCATCTTCTCCCCCTCTTGCGCTCTTTCCTCCTCAGATGCTGTCCTTTCTCTCTACCTTTCCCTCCGTGCTTGCCACTAGCTGAAGGAGTTTCCGCAGGGAGCGGAGGACGTGTTGTTTGACAAGGTGAAGGAGGTCGGGGGAGGAGGAGAAGCATTGAAAGGCTCCTACAGATCATCCTCACGTTGATTATCCTCAACACCATCCTCCTCGCTCTTGACTACTACGAGGGGATTCCAGTGCAGGCACGTTGAGAGAGGAGGAGGAGGAGGAGGAGGAGGAGGAGGAGGAGGAGGAGGAGGAGGAGGAGGACTGAATGGAGGCCGAGCAGGTACAAGGTGACTTTTTCCCGCAAGACAACTGCTGCGACGAGTCATGCTCGAAACGAGACATCGGCTTGTGCTTCCGCGGTCTCCTCCAGCAACCGGCCAACTGGTCGAGCTTCCTGCTGGTAAGAGATCCGGCACACCTCGTGCGTCTGACAGCTGCTGCAGATCGCCGAAGGTGTCTTTGCGTTCCTGTTCAGCGTGAGATTTCACTCTTCGTCTTGCTCCTATGCTTCTTCTTTCCCTTCCTCATCCTCCTCCTCCCTCCTCGTTCCAACCTTCTTTGCTGTTGTTCCTCCTCTCTGGACTCCTTCTTCCTCCGCTTTCTTTTCTTTCTCTCAGCACTCTGCTGCTCCTCTCGTCCTGCCTCTCACTCTTCCTCCAGCTAGAGGTAGTGCTCAAGGTTGCCTCTTTTGCTTCCTTCCGCAAGTACATCAAGCAGAGGTTCCCTTACAACCTCGCCGACTTCGTCATCGTCATCACCTCTGACTGCATGTACATCATTGCGCTTACATCCACAAGCCTTCTCAGGTTGGATGCCTCCCCCTCCCTCCTCCTCCTGTTCCCTTTTCCTCCCCCTACTCCTCCTCCTCCTCCTCCTCCTCCTCAGTCTTCCTGTCTTCATTCTCCTCCCCCCTCATCCCTCCTCCTATGCTTCCTCCTTTCTTCTCTCACTGTCTGTCAGGATTTCCTTTCTTCGCCTCATTCGCATTCTCCGTGCCTTCCGCCTCTTCTCGCGCTTTCGCCGCCTCCGCATCCTCGTTCAGAAGGCGATCGCGAGCTTCAATGCCATCCTCCACGTCCTCCTCGTCCTTATCCTCTGGCACATCATCGCTGCTCTCCTCGGCATGCAGATCTTCGGCTGCGATGTGCGACGAGACGACGTGTGTGAGCTCGACCAAGGAGGAGGAGGAGGAGGAGGAGTGTGTCCGTCAGGTTGCTCGCTGAGGGTAGGGGATCAGTGTTTCTTCAGCGAGGAGGAGGCGTTCAACTTCTGCCCGTGGGACTCGGACTGGAACTTCAACTCGTTCCGCAACGCCATCATCCTCCTCGTCTTCGTCACCACCGGCGAGAACTGGGTGGACAACATGGAGAAGGGGATGAGGCACACGGAGAGCGTGTGGCCGGGGCTGCTCTACTTCCTCGTCTTCTACATCGTCTCCTTCTACATGCTCCTGAACCTCTTCGTCGGCGTCATCCTCGAGGAGTTTGAGCTCTCCGACGACTCCAAGGAAGGCCTCCAGGTCGGCGCCTTCCGCGTCTCGATCCTCAAGACGATCAAGAGGAGGAGGAGGAGGAGGAGGAGGAGAAGCATGGTCTCTTCCGCTGGAGGAACTAGCGAGCACGGCGAGCAGGTTGTCTCCTCGCAGACAAACTTCACCGGCATGATCGATGGCCTCGTCGCCTTCACTGCCAACCCCGAGCAAGCGCCGCTGTCCCCCTCCCTCTCACAGTCCGGCCGTGAAGCGCAGCGCGACAGCATGGGGATGGAGGAGGAGGAGGAGGTAAGGAGAGCGCACCATGGCAGCATGTACTGAGAGAGCAGCAGGAGGCTCAAGCGAAGGGGTCAGAGGAGGACTACTTCTCCCTAGGGCTGCTTCCTCCTCCCACTCCTAACGCTCGATTCCCTGATGCCCCTCGCAACCTTCGCTCCTACGCACGCGCTATCGTTAGAAGTGCCTGGTTCGAGCGACTCATCCTCCTCGCCATCGTCCTGGTACCTCCCCTCCTCCTTCTCCTCCTCCTCCTCCCCTCCTCTTCCTTCCCCGCCTCCTCCTGCCCTTTCGTCCTTCACTCTCTTCATCTCTCTCCTCCCTCTTTCTTTTCCTCGCCTCACATCATCGCAGTCTGCTGTGATTCTCTTCATGGAGTCGCCTGTCTCGCAGTACTCGTCTCTCTCCTCCCACACGTCTCACCTCGCCGACTACGTCTTCTTCACCATCTTCCTCCTCGAGTTTCTTCTCAAGATCATTGACCTCGGCGTCTACTGGGAGCATCCGAACGCTTTCTTCCGTCTCTCCTGGAACATCCTTGACTTCCTGTGAGAACCTCCTCTCTCCTCCCTCCTCCCTCCTCCCTCCTCTCTCCTCTCTCCTCTCTCCTCTCTCCTCTCT